CGTGGATCCCCTCAGGGGTGGGGGTGTTGGGCCATGGGGAGCCCCGGGGGGGGCGGGCCTTAGGGGGGTCCCTGAAGTGGGGGGGGGCACGTGTTTGCCATCATTGGGGCAGGGCAGGCAAGAGCCGTTTTTCCACGTGGGCCCGTGAGTTTCCCCCAGTCCGATTCCATCGATTGACCCCACCGGAATCGGGTCCAGGCTGAGACGGGTGAGCAAACCGATACATAAACTCGGCCCACGGGTGAAGCTAGGTGCCTCGATGTTCTCCAAGGGCTAGCGATAGAGAATCAGGTGAGGAACTGCGCTACCTACACATCTGGTCAATTGATAGTAACCGTATGGATCTACCATCATTAACTGGTGGCTTCCAAGTGGGATGGGTTGGTAGTCCACGTGGCCACTGCAAATTAAATAAGAATTAATAGTTGATTGAGTTATGACATTAATTCTTTGCGCTCCTAAAGTGCCCATTATCCAAGGATCCACCAACTTGTATTTAGTATTCAGACTAAACAAATCAGATTGCTACAAGGGTGATCTCAGATTCCTTCGTTGTTGTGATGGGGAAGTCCCAGCTGAGTTACTGTGCTAGTTACTGAACAAACACATGGTAAGAGACAATCCCTGCTCCAAAGAGTTAGAGTCTGGACAAGGCAGATAAAGGATGGAAGGGAAATGGAGAGATGAAACATCTCACACAAGGTCATGCAGCTGTAGTGTAGACCAGGGCTTAGTATGGCCAGGAACAGAATCCAGGTCCCCTGAGTCCTACACAGGGTCTGCTCTTCTGGATCAAGCTGCCTCTCAGGCCTGGTCTACTCTTAAAAGGTTTGCTGATATAGATATACTGGCACCCCCTAGTGGAGACACAGCTGATTCCAGCAAAAGCGTTCTTCCACCCGTTCCCCGAATGGAATAGCTATGACCTGCCAAATATTTTTTGTTGCTGCTATAACTGTGTCTACATTAGAGCTTTTGCCAGCACAGGTATATCGGTTAGCGGTGTGATTTTTTTCACGTTCCTAACCGACATAGCTATGCCAGTAATATTTTCTAGTGTAGACCAGGCCTCGGAGAGGGAAGGTTGGTCCTTTGTGGCTAACGCACAGGTCTGGGAATCAGGAGATCTGTGTTCTACATGGACTTCACTCTCTGCTTGAACTCAGGAAACTGAGACAGAGAGAGGGTCGCACAGTGAATTGAATCTCCTAGACTTTAAGGCCAGAAGGGACCATCATGAACATGTAGTGTAGAACTCAGATCTCTTCATTCAGGTGCCTCCTAAAATCCCACTGCTTCCATCGTGCCCACAAGAAATTAACTGTTAAACAAATCCAAAATCCATTCCCTCCTCTGGGCTACGCAGTTAGTGCCAGCTCTCATTTCTATGCCTGTTTTTTAGGTCCCAATCCTGCAAACACTCACTCCCAGGTGTAAATACTTCCACCTATGCACTCAGTGGGTCTACTCATGGAAGTAAGCATTGCCCTTGAAGATGTTTTCAGGATTGGGCTGTTATATCTTCATGGCTCTTCATGCTATAGGGGTTGTTTTGAGACTTGTATTTTATACTGTGCCTAACACATTGTCTTTGCTTAACAAATAATGAATCATAACAACAAAGTGGTGCTGCATGGGACCTCACATAAGTATTTCTGGGCAACTCTGATAGCGACCTCATGTGCAACTGAAACCTGCCAGAGCCAAGGCCCCAAAAGTGGCTCACAAGTCTTTACCACGTGACCTTGGGGACACTATAGGTTCCAGTGGGCCTTGTGGCCATAAGGCTTAGCTTGATGTGGAGCATTGCATGTGGGGCCCTGTAGTCTCCACCAGCCAGCTAAAGATCAGTATGGCTTTAAGAAGCTGCCAATCTGGCTTTTGTCAGGGCCACTTTTGGGAGCCCCTTGAAGCAAAGGACTTGTTTAAACAAATAAATGATCGGTGCAACAAGATGAGCTGAATAATTGTTTTCTGCAGTTACAAGGTGTTTCTAGTTAATTTTCCTGCCTGTGACTGTTTGGGAGGGATAACGGGGCACCGCTTTAAATTGCTACCTCCGTGTCTTGAAATAACACCCAGAGACACATTGACATTGACTGCCATGGAGTATGGAGGGGACGTAGTCTGGGGGCTAATGTGGCAGCTTCACTCCGGGCTCTACTTTTGATCTCCCGTTGAACTGAGTTCAGAGGAGGAGGAGCCAGGAGACTATGTTTGTGCTGTTGATACTGTAGCAGGGCTATTTTTATCATGGCTTTGGACCTGCAATTAGCCGAGTGTTACCTAACAGTGAAATCAAGGTGAAATCATAGAGCTGAAAGCCATCAAGAGCAGCTGTTGACATTTTCGCCAGTGAAATATTGCCGGGAGGAGGAAGCAGTGGAACTAGACCTTTCACGGCAGCACAAGATCATTGGACTTGTGTTTTACAGTGTACTGCTCACAACCCTTTGCCAGTCATTTGTATAGGCCTTGTGGGGTGGCCTCTCCTCCTCCTCTCACCTTGTCCGCAAAGGAAGCAAAACTGGGGGGTTCCTAGCACAATTCTCTGCGAGCTGGGATTTGAGGAGTTTTTGGTAACTGGCTTCCCTGAAAGAAAATGGAATTAGGAGATGATTCATAGATTCCAAGTTCAAAAGGGACCATTGTGATGATGAAAATAGAGGGACAGCTGGAACTGTTTAGACAATAACTGCTAATCAGTCCCATGATATATTGCTTAAGCTTGTGGTTAAGGCATAGATCTAGGAGTCAGGACTTCTGGGTTCTCTTCATGGCTGTGACACAGGCTTCCTTTGGGCAGGTTACTTGACTTTTCTGTGCCCCAATTTCTCCATCTATAAAATGGGCATCATAATTTTAACCATCCCAAGAGGGCTCTGAGACTTTGATTTCAGTATTAGTCTGTAAAGCACTTTGAGATTCATCTTGCAAAACCAGAGCCCAACAGTAAGTGTATTTTACTATGATTTTAGTCAAAGAAAGAGCAAACATGGATAAATGGTTTGACAGGGTCACTTTTTTAGGGTGATTTCTGCAAGAAAGCCCATGGGTCCAAAGCTCACTCCGGGGAGAAGGTCATTATGATATTATGTTGGTTGGAGGTGTGATGATGTTGTGTTGTGATGTCATGACATGGCTTCCTGGTGTGATCAGAGGATGAGCATCCTAAGGTTGATGACGTTGCCTTGAGCCACAGCAACGTCCTGATGTGTCCGAGTCCATGACTGGGGTTCCCACCCACTGTGAAAATACAAATAATAAGGAATCATGATGACGTGATGATATTTGGATGGGCTGTGATAATTTGATGCTCAGTCCTATGGACGAGATGACCTCCCGAGGGCCCTTCCAACCCTGCTAGTCTCTGATTCTAGGATGTCATGTTGCCGCACGATGATGTCACACGTCCCGGTGTGAGGTCAGGATGACGTACGAGCATGTGCTGCTGTGTCCCAACATGGCACGGGGCGATGGCGTGTGGGGGCATGGCGCAGCGGGGCCATGGGATGATGCGGCAGCGTGATGCATCACGGGGCGATGATGCGACTGTGTCATGCTATGACATGCTGCAGCACGACATGAGGTCACTTTGCAGCCCATCAGCCCCCAGCTGCTGGCTGGCTTGATCACAGGCCCCGCCCTGCCTGCCAGATGGACTACAATTCCCATCAGGCACCTGGGCCGTCGCTATGACGCCAATGGCACCTCAGGGCGGCGGGACTACAATCCCCATGATGCCCCGGGTGGCGGAGCGCAAGCGCCCAGGGCGTCACGGCGCCGGAAACTACAACCCCCATGATGCACCACGTCCCCGGGACAGCCCTGTCCTCCCAGCTCCCGCCCTGCTCCCTTCGCCTTCTCGCCCCGCCCCCTGTCTGTGACGCGGTGGGCTCTATAGTGACGCGTGACGTTGTGTGTGACGGGGGAGGGGGAGTTCAGCGCGGCGGAGCCGGTATTTGCGGCGGACGGAGCGCGGAGCCCGGACCCCTCCCCCATGGCGGCCAGGCGGCTGCGCGCGGTGCTGCGGCTGGGGGCGCGCCAGGGGCTGTGGCCGGGCGCGCCCCCCGCCTGGCAGGTGAGCGGGCCCGCGGGCCGCCGGGGGGG